GCACCCATCTAAGATCGAAATATTCAAACAGCATAAATATGTGTTTATGCACACAGTGTTTAAATACAATAGCTATTGACTGAGTAGTTAAAGGAATTTTATTGAACTTATACACAGAAAAGCAAAGAATGATCATAAAATCCAGTCATTAGCCGGAGCAGGACTGTGATATTGAATAAATTATTATTGGTCCAGCTGTGTTGCTTGCTTGTCCTGATTCCTCCATTTGAATAGAAGGTGGAGGTGATGGGTTTAAAGGGTTGGTTTAGGGGGCTGGAGAGAGGAAGGGAAGACAGACTTCTCATAGAAGCAGTAGTGAACACATGGGGTGCCTGCAGTAGCAGGAGGAGGGGGTGCAGAGAAGGAGGAGGGTAAAAGGTGATCTGCCCCTAAAAGAGAAGTCCTGGCTTCCAGGCATCCAGAGATGAGAAGCAGTGGGGCCTCCAGCTGACATAGGACAGGGGCTATTCATGCTCACATTTTATCCTACGACTGCTTCACGTATTTGGAAAAAGATACATTTATGGATGAAAAAGATGGACTGTGTGGCGCTGCCAGGAATTATGTAACGTCCTTTGGTTTTTATATGGTGCTGCCCTCAGGAATGTGTGTTCATTGGGGTTTAAGCAGAGGCCGTTTGAACCCCCACAAGGTCATAAAACGAATGGTTATTAGCACAGCTGAAATAGCAAAGAGGAACCTCAAGAGTGGAGAGAAAGGAACCAAAGTTTGATTCTATGAGGTCATGATGAACTCAGCGTCTGACAGGGACGCACTGAGGGAGGCCGCTAAGGCTCAGCCCAGAAAGCTGCCTGTGAGTGGTGAGCCAGCCCCCAGGCAGGTGCTGTCCCTCTCCCTGGAGAGGACTGGTCGCCCAATTTAGTCCCCGCTGAAAAGCAAGGACAGCCAGCGCCTCTCAGCGTCTAAACATTGACCTCTGTTGGCCAGTTGTGCCGTTGCAGTGTTTTTGCAAATAGACGGCAAACACGGAACTAGTTATTCATTGACAGTTAATGAAGAAGTCACAGGGAGGGATCTTTCCGTCGAAGTATATATGATCATGTCTGTCTTCTTGAAATTCCCTTAGAGAGAGGCCTCATCTACCTCCAAGCACGCAGTCAGTGCTGATGGATGCTGCGTTGGGCATGCTCAGTACAAAGCTGATGACCTGGTTTCATGTTTGCCTTCCCTCTGTAAACACACTGCAAGGCGTGCACCTATTACAGGCCAGAAAGCATCCTAGACTCTGGGCATGGAAAGATGAGCAAAACGGACAAAATCTCCACCTTTGTGGAGCTGGGGAAAGAGGTGAAACAAATAGCATGAGTAAAAAAATAAATAATGCATCGAAAGATAGTAAGTGCAATGGGGGGAAAACAAAGCAGGGTAGAGAGGGCAGGAAAGCTAGGGATGGGGTGTTGTTATTTCAAGCAGAGTGGTCAGCGAAGCCCTGGGAAGGGCAACGGAAGGCGACAGCGCACAGGGCAGACAGGATTCCAACTATAGCGACTAATGTGGACCCAGACGCAGAGGTACAGGTGCAGTTAAAGGACCAGCAGGAGACAGGTCACTGTGGTGCAGTGAGGAGGGGGCATGCAGACCGCGGCTTGTGCATGGTGCTTGTCCTCCCAGAGAGAAGGAGCTGGCTTGGCCAGGACAGGGGCAGTAGAGGCAGTGAGCCGGGGTCTCATTCTAGGTAAATTTGGAAGAGAGGACAGACAGGATTTGCTTTGTGATTTGATGAGTGTAGTATGAAAGAGCCGAGTCAAAAGTGATTCCGGGCCCTTGAATGACTGGAATAAAGGAAGTGCCATTCACGGAGATGAGAAGAGCATAAGAGGTGCCAGTGGGCAGGGGCATATCAGGAGGTCTGTTTTGGACACATTGCATTTGTGTTACCAGTAGGTAGCCATGTGGACATCATGAGATAACATGGTGGCCGGGATCCAGGTGTGCCTTGTGAAGTTACTTGTTTTGCACGCATGTTGTCCCCCCACTGAAGCAAGAGCGAGGTCTTAAACAACAGGTTCTCTTCTGCAGTCCCTCACATTTAGCAGGTGCTCAGTGTGGTTACTGAACTTTATTACAACTGCGAAACCTGGAGTGGGAACACGTGCTCAGCAACATTGGAAGCTCTCAGCACCATAGGGGAGACCTGCTTGGGCCTCAAATTCAAGGAACTCACAGCCTCGCTGTTCCAGTTTAAAGTAACATCATGTCACAAAATCCCACCAAGTCTATTTCTGGCCAGCACAGTAGCCATCCGCACAGATAGCATGTTCTGAGGTAGATAAGTCTTCTCCAAGGGAATTTCAAACAGACCTAACTACATATACTCTTCCTGAAAAATCCCTCCGTATGGTTTCTTCATTAACTGTTAACAGTCAGTTAACCTTTAAGAATGTTTATGTCCTTCTGATAAACCTAACTATGAAATACACAGATTGGTTATGGATACTTTAGTATGCTTATCTGAGATATGTCCAATGAGAGTTTAACTTTCACCAAAGAAAGGGAAAATACTTACTTTAGTTGACATATATGCAGACCCCAAAAAAGTACATTTTCTAGATAATTCAGGTTACATATAGTCAGGAGGGAAATGTCTGAGGATAAATATTAGTGAGGATGAATAATCAGTGAGGAGAAAAAGTAGCATTTGGCATGAGCTATCCAGTCCACTGTTTACAACAATCACATTATCTGAATAACCTTTCACTGTTGGTTTGTGTAGACTCACCTGAGGATGTGTGTGTGGCATCTTTTCCAGGATGTCAGAGCTCCTTTGGGAGGAGGCAAAGCCAGAATTTAGGAAGAAGGGACCAAAGACAAGCCTTTGAAGTGGTGGAATATATCTTCCCAAACCTACCCAAGTTGAAATAAATTCCTTTATCATCAGCTCTTTTTAGTGCATATCTTAAATATTCTCTCCCTCATCACTTTTCTTTCATGAATTGTTAGGTAGGCTGTTCAAGCTACAGACGACCTCATGGTATTTAATTCTAAGACCTGCCTTGGGAGTGTTGAGATGAGGGAGTAATGAAGGGCTTTCAAATGCCCCAAAACTTTATGGAGTATATAATTGGAAGCATATGCATCTACATCACAGCCTTTGGAATAATCAGTAGTGTTACTTGTTATAAAGGCCTTGAAAACATTTCTTCTCAATGAGTCTGTAGATACTGGGTAACACGTAAAAGTCTCCGATAGACTTGTCTATGAATATGCAGTAGACATTGTTTTCAGAACATGGAATGTTGGCTGCTCTGAGGAGTGTGTACGGTATGGCTCACACACCAAGAAAACTGTCAACTGGTAGGTATTAGGCTTTCTGTCAGCAAGGAGACAGACTGCCCGAATCAGGGGATCATCCAGGAACATGCAAAGCCAAAAAGGCCAGTATGTTTGCAAATAGGGCTTCCAGTATTATGAATATCACATGACCTCTGACAGCTGTTAGGCAGGGATAAGCAAACAGTGAGTCTGGTAGATTCTTAGGAGATATTTATACTTCAGAACTTTGTTTTTATGACTTGGAAATGCAGTTTAAAAATCCCCACTTGAAGAAGGATTGGTTCCTCTGCTCAGTTTGTGATGTTAATGGCTCTAAGAGGTTTGGGGCAGGATTTATGGAGCCAGCTCCAGGGTGGCCCTCCCACTTGGAACTCAGTGGTCATCCCCATCTGATACTATAACTTGTATGATTGTTCATATGTATATGCAAATATATGTGTGCGAGATATAAATGTAGTTCCGTAATTGAATAGCAGCCTCATCACACATTTATATGGGGAGACTAGAATTGTATGAGTAGGTGTAAGGCAAACACTATTTCACAATTTTCTGTACCATGAAACAAACCATGAGTTCCTGCCATTGGGATCCTGTTTATTTCAAGTGACATTCACCACTGTTGGGGATAGTAGGAATGTCAAGTTCATCTCTCTTAGTGGTATTATATCTCTGTTCATAGAGGCAGAGATCGGGAGCACAGGAAAAAGAAAAATGGGTTGGGAGACCAAAGAGACTGAATTAAATCCCACTTCCATCAATTCACAGCTGTGACATTAAGCAACTGATTTAATCTCTCCGAGACCATAATTATAGTTCCCTATTTATAATTTAGAACAACAATGCTTTTTTCACTAGTATATTGTTAGTATTAAACAAAAGGCTTTTTGTAAAGTTTGTACTCTAATGTTCAACAGATAGTAGGTACTCAAAAAATGTTAGCTTTCTTTACATTTTTAAAATATCCCAGAACTATGAAATGTTCCCCAGATGATATTCACATTGATATGGGCTCATGCTCACACACTATAGTAATAGGCATGCGGCCCACAGGCGGAGAGTTTGACATGCTTGTTGTAGATGAACCAAGTACTTGAGATGTATATGTCACATTGATCCTCTCCCAGCAATGTTCTCCCCTCAAACCTCCCCCGATTCTGCTTCCCCTAAATTCCTAGGGTACACATTCATTTACCCACTAGATATGAAGCCTCAACTATGTGCCAGGTACCCCTTTAAAAGCCAGAGATACGGTGATTAACACATAGTGCCTCCCTCGTGGAGCACACACAGTCCAACTCAGACCCACATCAGCCCTGTCGCACAGAGAAGAGCCTTGTCCCATGAGCTAATCAAGCACAAGGCCAGCGCCTTGCTCAGTGCTGAACACTCAGATGTTCTTTCATCCTTGGGGGTCAAAGGACTTGTTTTCACAGAGTCCAGGCCTAGAGCTGATACTCAGTAAAATGATATTTTGAGTGCTGAAGGGACTTGTACACTGGCTTCTGCCCAACATCTGCATACGGTAAGTACAAATACAGCAGAAAATTAAGAGCCTCGTTAGTGTGTGCTAGTGGAGGAGATTTGTGGAACTGTCTTGTTTTGCTCCATTCAGCTTCTGCACTGCACGTGTGTGAAATAAAACCCGAATAAAAGGTTTTCACTTACTTCCTTTCTGTCTCCCCTCTCTGTCTCTCACCGTCCCACAGGTCAGCGTGGAGGTGTTGGTAGAGTACCCTTTTTTTGTGTTCGGACAGGGCTGGTCGTCCTGCTGTCCAGAGCGAACCAGCCAGCTCTTCGATTTGCCGTGTTCCAAACTCTCCGTGGGGGACGTCTGCATCTCGCTGACCCTCAAGAACCTGAAGAACGGCTCGGTGAAGAAGGGCCAGCCCGTGGATCCCGCCAGCGTCCTGCTGAAGCACGCCAAGGCCGACGCCCTCGCGGGCAGCAGACACCGGTACGCGGAGCAGGAGAACGGCATCGGTCAGGGAAGTGCCCCGATGCTCTCCGAGAACGGCGAACTGAAGTTCCCAGACAAAATCGCATTGCCTGCAGCGCCCTTGCTCACCAAAACAGAACCCAGCAAGCCCGCGACCACGAGGAAGAGGAGGTGGTCGGCGCCCGAGACCCGCAAACTGGAGAAGTCGGAAGACGAGCCGCCTTTGACTCTCCCCCGGCCTTCGCTCATTCCTCAGGAGGTGAAGATTTGCATCGAAGGCCGGTCCAACGTGGGCAAGTAGGAGCGGCGGCGTGGCGTGGGGCAGGAATTCGGCCCTCCCTTACCATTTGTATCCAGATTACTGTACTGTAGGCTAAATAACACAGTATTTACATGTTATCCTCTTCCTTTAGGTTTCTGTTCTTACCTTGTCGTTAGAGTTACAGCTGGTGTTGCGCAGGAGACGGTGCATATGCTTTTTCCACGAGTGTCTGGCCGTGGGCGAGCGGGTGGCCAGCACGGGGCCGGCGCGGCCAGGCGCCTGGTGGAATGAATGTGGCTTTGGAGTGGCTGCCTTTTCTAGCAGCGCCAGAAGCATCCGCTGGGCGCTGACTTCTGCTGGTTTCATGAGGAAGTTCGGGGAAGGGGATTGCAGGGGTGTGCGTGCGAGCGTGCGGGGCGAGGGCGAGAGGTGGGGGGGTGCAGCAGGGGTGCCACAGCAAGCGAGGGTCTTCTCTCTGCCTCCCCCTGTCTCACGCTCTCAGCACGGGGTTGCTGCGAGCGTGCGGGGCGAGGGCGAGAGGTGGGGGGGGGGTGCAGCAGGGGTGCCACAGCAAGCGAGGGTCTTCTCTCTGCCTCCCCCTGTCTCACGCTCTCAGCACGGGGTTGCAGCTCCAGAGACACGTCCTCAGGAGGTCTCACGTACAAAAGAAATATCAGGAACCCAGCCTCAGGGCATCCTAGAGAGGATGGAAAGCTAACCCTGTAAAAGAACATTTTCCCCCCCCTCCAACATATTTTACAATAAAAGCAACTTTTAATCATATAGATATGTATTTCCCCCTATGGGGCCTGACTGCACTGATTTTTTTTTTTTTTAAGAGCAACTGCCACACGTGGGATTTCGTTTCTGCTTCTCTAGTGCAGTGCCGTCTTGGGGTGTCTGGTGGGCAGGGCCGCCCTGACTGCCTGGCTCCCCGAGGGTGCGGGGCAGCGGGGTGGAGCGTGAACGCCCACTCTGGTTCTGTGCAGTGTTAGGAAAACCAATCAGGTGGTCGCATTGACTTCCTCCCAAGAGGCAGGTGGAGCTGCCCTTCACCTTGGGTTTGCAAATCTTTTGTCTTTTAACTCTAGTACTGTTTATAGTTCATGACTATGGACGACTCGGGTGCCACTTTTTTCAGATTCCAGTGAGACGTGAGGAATTGGATTTTGAAGATGAGCATATATATTGCTATCTCTAAGCACTTACAATGCTGTTCACACTTTATTACCAAGCATCTTGGTCTAGCATTCAACAAGTACTGTATCTCACTTTAAAGTCTTTGGGAAGAAAAAACAACAACAACAAAAAACTAAGTTGCTATCTTTTTTCGACACTGTAACTGCATTTCAGCTCTGCAGAGTTTCTCACGGCAAGATATTGACAGTTTCCATGTGGTTTTAAAGGATGAATGTGAATCATGAACCAGTATGTGACAATGAATGACCACCCAGTGCAGCCTGGCGGGAAGGCACTTTCACTTTGATGTTTGAGAAAGGATTAAAGGCATATGCAGAGCTGGCAGAGAAACCGAGAGAAAAGGGATGGAAAAAAGAATACTCATTTTTGTCCAGTGTTTTTCTTTTTACGACGAACTTTTAAAGAACCTTGCGATTTGCACATCTTGAGTTCATAATTTGTGTGATATTCCTGCAGTTTTTATCCAATAACATTGTGGGAAAGGTTTGGGGGACTGAACGAGCATAAATAAATGTAGCAGAATTTCTTTCTAACCTGCCTAAACTCTAGGCCATTTTATAATGTTCCTTTCAAAATTTATTTTGGTCTTTCTACCACATCTGTCACAAAAACCAGGTCTTTGGCAGGACAACTCTGAGAATTTTCTTCAGATTCATTGAGAGAGTTTTCCATAGAGACATTTATATATGTGAGCAAGTTTTTTTTTTTAATTCATTATTGTTGTTGTTAATGTTTTTTCAGAATGACTTTTTTTTTTTTTTTCATCTGAAATCAAATCAAGATTTGGTGTTTGGTACAAACCCAGAAAGGTATTTCAGAATTTAAACCTTTCATTCCCAGAGAGGTGAAATATTGTTTGTGGGTTTTGAGTTTGCATCTCAAAGTGCTTTAAAAAAAAGTTTTATAAGTAGGAAGAAATTTTTAATATTCGTACTTGGAATGGCTGCAGCTAATCTGAATAAAAACTTCTGATTTTCCTTTCCTCATTGAGAAATAATACTTTTTTTTCCATTTCACAAATTTAAGAAGTCCTAATGTCAGCCCACATTTTGGCTATCTAGTGTTCCTTCACATTTTGTTCTCACCAGGACTAATGAGTTTATAAACCATTTTCTGGAATGTACCAAAAACATTTGAATAGATAGAGAATAGCTAGAGCCGGTCCTTGACTCTATTTGAATTTCATCACCCTCCCTGCATGCTCACAGAGAGTTGGGTGGGTCTATTCTCGAAGTCATAATACTCCTTTAGTGCTGTATTTTTTAAAGCGTTTCTGTTCAGAGAACTTGCTTAATCTTCCATATATTCTGCTCAGGGCACTTGCAATTATTAGGTTTTGTTTTTCTTTTTCTTTTATAACCTTTGGTGGCAAGAGGAATACGAGGCTGCCACATCGACTTTGTCCTCATTGGCACCACTATTTACAGTAGCCACTCCTGTGGACTCAGAAAGACACACACCACCTGTTGGCTTACTTCGAGTATTGAACTAACTGGACCCACAACACCAACACTAAAATGGGAAAATATACATGATTGGAGCAATAGGAACATCATCATCATTTTTGTGCTTCTATTTCAGGTATAGGAATTATAAGAGGATCGGTTCTTTCTCAGCATTGTCCCATTTCACTCCCCTGCTTTTCCAGCATGTGCAATACTTTCCATGCCAATAGAGTCTGATCAGTGTGGTCCAGTTAAAGCTCACACCCTTTTGGCTTTTTCCTTGTTTGGAGGGGAGGAGCTAGAAGGGGAGAGCCTCCCGCTGCGAGCTCCCCCTGCTGCTGTGGATGCTGAGTGCTGGGCGGGAGCCTGCAGGAGCCCAGGTGTCTGTCGCCACGTTGCAGAAAGAGCAAGCAAAGGAGATCTAGGGGACCAGCTGCACTTCCGCTGTCACCACGATGAATAGTGAATGTGGAGTGTGTAGAGGAAGGAGGCAGAGTCATTTCTAAGGCGCACTCTGGAGCAATAGAACCAGCATCAACCCATTTTCCACGCCCTTTTCCGCAAGTGGGCAGGCCCCTCCTCAGGTCTGTGTCCTTGAGACTTTGAGCTGTGCCTCTGAGCGCGCAGGAAGTGATGTGTGTGTGAACTGTGAGTGTGCAGGCCAGTGGCTATGGAGGGGCCACCTGCCAGCACTGCCCACTCTCCTCTGTGGCAGCTTTCTCTTCAAATAGGAAGAACATCCAGGGGACAGGGAACCTCCTCCTGTTGGCAGACCTTGCTGAACTGAGGCTCCCAGAGCAGCCTTTGTCACCACTTCTGTGTAGCAGACCTGGCAGTGACAGGCGTAGAAATTCTCCTCCGGTGCCCTGCAGCTTACGAGAATCAGCCTTGTGCCTCTGTACCGTGTCCACTTTGCAATATTTGCCTACACTGTCTTTAGTTCTTTCTTTCCTGTTTTCCACTTTTAAACTAATAACAGCAGGCCTTTTGCATTTACAATGGAACACAGTCACCAAGAAATTAGCCAGGGTGAAAAGAAAAAAAAAATATAATAAGAAACCAACAAACAAGAACCTCTCTTGATAGGGATTTCTACTAGTAAATATAGAAAATGACTGTTCCTTCGAATGTTTAACTTAAGAATTATTTCAGTTTGTCTGGGCCACACTGGGGTGCAGATAAAGAGATGGGTGCCACTTACCTCAAACCTTTTGAAGTGGAAATCCAAATTGCATTTTCATTGGGACTTTCAGGATAATTTTCTATGTCAGTCAATTTTTTTTGTTTTCCCCAACTCGCCCCGTTTGGTTTGGGATGATTTGATTTTCGTCACTGCTGTTGTCGATCCCCTTTCTGACTCTGCATTGTGACCCTCTGTGTTTTCTGTTGGGTGAGTGTGTAGGGATTCCCCCGCAGGAAGTGGCAGCAGCTTCCCTCACCCCCCACCCCCCCCACAGGAACTCTGCGGAACCTTTCACACCTCTTACTCAGGGACGGGCTGGCGTGTGTGTGGTACACTGATGTGCCCGGAGCAGCACTTTGACTGCTCTGGAGTAGGGCTGTACAACTTCGAGGAATGTTTGGATTTCCTGCACCTTGTGGATTACTCCTTAGATCCTGCATAGATTGCAATATAATGCTGCGTGTTCACGAGGAACAGCAGCTCCTAGTAATCATAAATCCACTCTTTGCACATAGTTCGATCTTTACTGAAATATGTTGCCAAAATTTCTTTTTGTTGTAGCTTTGGAATTTTTTGTTTGTTTGTTTTTTAAAGAAACAATTGACAATACCCTTTAACATCTGTGACTACTAAGGAAACCTATTTCTTTCATAGAAAAATCTCAGTGCTCTTGAAGACACTAATGCCACGTTATTTCAGATTTGGGTGAAGAAGCAGAGCTCTTGGGACAGAAGGCCAGGCTTTTTGAGCTGTGTTGGTTGTCATGGCGACTGTTTCATGTACCATAAGCCGCTCAACAAACTGTGGCCTGTTCTCTCCTAATCCTTTGCACTTCCTGTTTTCTGGTCACCGTGACGATTCCAGGTGACAACAGGGCCGCCCGTCTCCCTGGCCCGACCCAGCTTCTTTGGCGGATATGAAAGAAAAGGGAATTATGCTTTTTTTTTTTATCCTTTAGAGTGGAGTGGAGGCCTTTGCTTCCACTTTTGTGTTTTCAACCCAGAATTTCTGAAATGGAGAATTTAAGACATCAAGTAATAAATATACAGAGAATATACTTTTTATAAAGCACATGCATATGCTGTTGTGTTGGGTTGGTTTCCTCTTTTCCATGGACAGTGTTGTGTTTCTGTTGATAGGGAAACTCCAAACGATTTGCACACCTCTACTCTGGAGCCGAGACTTCTACAGAGATGACCTCGCTTCAAATGTTACTTACTGATGGGATCTTTTCCTGTAGCACTAGACCTTGTGGGAATTTCCTTTTTTTTTTTCCTTCTTTTTAATGTACACCTAATCTGAGAAGCTGAAGAAAAGAAATTTTTGAGGCACTCACTTTGAGGAGTACAGGTAATGTTTTTAAAAATTGCACAAAAGAAAAATGAATGTCGAAATGATTCATTCAGTGTTTGAAAGATATGGATCTGTTGAAACAATGAGTTTCATACCTTGTTTGTAAAAGAAAAAAAAGAAGCAGCATAAAGGTTGAAAGTTACATGTTTTTCTTTGTATATAGAAATTCGTTGTGTCTAAATGATCAGATTTGTATGGTTACGGCCTGGAAGAATTACTGCGTCAAAGGCTCTTCAACTATACCTATGCTTCATTTCTGTTTTCGTTACATAGAGCCCTCCTTCTAAGAGAGGGCAACTCTGTATTCTGCAGTTTGAGAATACTGT